TTGGGGACATTCGGGGACATTTGGAGGGAATTGGGGGTTGGGGACACTTTGGGGACATTTTGGGGACATTGGGGGTTGGGGATTTGGGGACACTTTGGGGACGTTGAGGGCTTGGGGACATTTGGGGACATTTGGGGGAATTGGGGATTTGGGGACATTGGGGACATTTTGGGGACATTTGGGGACATTTGCGGGTTTGGTGATTTGGGGACATTGAGGACATTGAAGGGGTTGGGGACATTCGGGGACATTTTGGGGACATTTGGGGGGATTTGGGGACATCAAGGGGGTTGGGGACATTTGGGGCATTGGGGGGGATTTGGGGACATTTGGGGTCGTTGGAAACATTGGGGACATTTGAAGACATTGGGGACATTTGGGACATAAAAGAGGTTGGGGACATTTGGGGACATTTGGGGACATTGGGGACATTGAGGGGGTCGGGGACACTTGGGGACATTTGGGGGTTTGGTGATTTGGGGACATTGGGGACATTGAAGGGATTGGGGACATTTTGGGGACACTTGGCTGGTGACATTGGGGACATTTGGGGACATGGAAGGGATTGGGGAAAGTTGGGGACATTTGGGGACATTTGGGGGGTTTGGGAACATTTGGGGAGTGCTGGAATTTGGGGACATTTTGGGGACATTTGGGGACATTGGGTGGTTTGGGGACATCGGGGGGTTGGGGACACTTTGGGGACATTTGGGGGGAATTCGCGGTTTGGGGACATTGGGGACACCTTGGGGACATTGAGGGGATTGGGGACATTTGGGGACATTGGGAATGTTGGGGACATTTGGGGACACTTTGGAGGGGATTGGGGACATTTGGGGGATTGGGGACACTTTGTGACATTTGGGGACATTTGGGGGAATTGGGGGTTGGGGACATTTGGGGACACCTTGGGGACATTGAGGGGATTGGGGACATTTGGGGACATTTGCGGGTTTGGTGATTTGGGGACATTGGGGACATTGAAGGGGTTGGGGACATTCGGGGACATTTTGGGGACATTTGGGGGGATTTGGGGACATCAAGGGGGTTGGGGACATTTGGGGCACTGGGGGGGATTTGGGGACATTTGGGGTCGTTGGAAACATTGGGGACACTTGGGGACATTTGGGGACATTTGGGGACATTGACAGGGTTGGGGACATTGGGGACATAAAAGAGTTTGGGGACATTTGGGGTCATTTGGGGACATTGGGGACTTTGAGGGGGTCGGGGACATTTGGGGACGTTTGGGGACGTTTGGGGACATTTGGGGGATTGGAGACATTGGGGACATTGGGAGGGAATTTGGGGTTGGGGACATTGGGGACATTTGGGGACATTGAAGGGGTTGGAGACATTTGGGGACACTTTGGGGCACTTTGGGGACATTTGGGGTAATTTGGGTGTTGGGGACATTTGGGGACATTTGGGGACATCGGGGGCTTTGGGGTTGAGGACATTGGGGACACTTTTGGGGCACTTCAGGACACTTTGGGGACATTTGGGGTCATTGGAAACATTGGGGACATTGGGGACACCTTGGGGACATTGAGGGGATTGGGGACATTTGGGGACATTGGGAGGGTTGGGGACATTTGGGGACACTTTGGAGGGGATTGGGGACATTTGGTGATTTGGGGACATTGGGGGTTGGGGACATTTGGGGACATTGAGGGGGTCGGGGACATTTGGGGACACTGGGGACACCTGAGGGGACCTTGGTGGTGGGGACACTGGGGACATTTGGGGACATTTGGGGACATTTGGGGACATTTGGGGCATTTAGGGGACATTTGGGGACATTGGGGGACATTTGGGGGTTTGGTGATTTGGGGACATTTTGGGGACATTGAAGGGATTGGGGACATTGGGGACCCTCCGGTGACACTCGGTGACATCGGTGACGTCACTCTGTCCCCTCCCCCCGCAGCCGCCGCCGCCCCCCCCCCGGAGCTGCCACCCCCGCGTGGGACAGGTGAGCGCTGTCCCCTCCCCCCCCGGGGACATTGGGGACATTGGGGACATTGGGGACAGCGAGGGGACAGCGCCACCCCTGACCCGCCCCTCTCTCCACAGGAGCCTGAGATGTCCCCAAGCGCCCCCAGAATGGCCTCAAAGCGTCCCCAAGTGTCCCCAAGTGTCCCCAAATGGCCCCAAATGTCACCAAATGGCCCCAAATGTCCCTAAATGTCCCCAAAATGTCACAAAATGTCCCCAAAGTGGCCCAAAATGTCCCCAAATGGCCCAAAATGGCCCCAAATGGCCCCAAATGTCCCTAAATGTCCCCAAAATGTCACAAAATGTTCCCAAAGTGGCCCAAAATGGCCCCAAATGTCCCCAAATGTCCCCAAATGGCCCCAAATGGCCCCAAAATGGCCCCAAATGTCCCTGAATGTCCCGGAATGTCCCCAAAATGTCCCAAATGTCCCCAAAATGTCCCAAAATGTCCCCAAATGTCCCCAAAATGTCCCAAATGTCCCAAATGTTCCCAAATGGCCCCAAATGTCCCCAAAATGTCCCCAAATGTCCCCAAATGTCCCCAAATGTCCCCAAATGGCCCCAAATGTCCCTAAATCAACCAAAATGTCCCCAAAATGTCCCAAATGTTCCCAAGTGTCCCAAAATGTCCCCAAATGGCCCCAAATGTCCCCAAATGGCCCCAAATGGCCCCAAATGTTCCCAAATGTCCCCAAAATGTCCCCAAATGTCCCCAAATGTCCCCAAGGAAGGCAATGAATAAAAATGGCTGAAAAAACGATTTTTGGTCACTGGGGGAGGGGACACGGGGACAGCGGTGACACCGGGAGGGGACACCGGGGTGACAATGGTGACACCGGGAGGGGACGCCGGGGTCATCGGTGGCCTTGGGGACACCGGGGTGACAATGGTGGCCCTGGGGACATTGAGGTGACAATGGTGGCCTTGGGACACTGAGGCGATGGTGGCACCTGAAGAGGACACGAGGGCAGAGGTGACACCGAGGTGACGACGGTGGCCTTGGGGACATTGGAGTGATGGTGACACCGGGAGGGGACACAAGGCCTTGGGGACATTGGGTGATGGTGGCCTTGGGGACATCGGGGCCGTGGTGGCACCAGAAAGTGACACAAAGCCAAGGGTGACACTGGGGTGACAAAGACTTTGGGGACATTGAGGTGACAATGGTGGCCTTGGGGACATCGGGGTGATGGTGGCACCTGAAGAGGACACGAGAGCAGAGGTGACACTGAGGTGACAACGGTGGCCTTGGGGACATCGGGGCCATGGTGGCACCAGGAGGGGACAGAAAGCCTTGGGGACATTGAGCGATGGTGGCCTGGGGGACATCAGAGTGAAGGTGGCATCAGGAAGTGACATCGGGTCAGTGGTGGCCTTGGGGACATCCAGGACAATGGTGGCACCAGGAGGGGACACAAAACTTGGGGACATTGAGTGATGGTGGCCTTGGGGACACTGGGGTGATGGTGGCACCAGGAGGGGACATTGGGGCCACGGTGGCCTTGGGGACACCTGGTCACTGGTGGCACCAGGAGGGGACACAAGGCCGTGGGGACATTGGGGCCATGGTGACACTGGGGACATCGGGGACTTGGTGGCACCAGGAGGGGACACAAGGCCGTGGGGACATTGATTGGTGGTGGCCTTGGGGACATCAGGACATTGGTGACACCAGGAGGGGACACGGGGTCAGTGGTGGCCTTGGGGACATCGGGGCGGGGGTGGCACCAGGAGGGGACATCGGGGCCATGGTGGCACCAGGAGGGGACACAAAGCCAACGGTGACATCGGGGGTGACAGCGACTCTGGGGGCATCGGGGTGACAATGGTGGCCGTGGGGACATCGGGGCGATGGTGGCACCAGCAGGTGACACAAGTCCTTGGGGACATTGGTGGCGCTGAGGACATCAGGGAGATGGTGACACCAGGAGGGGACACTGGGTGATGGTGACACCAGGAGGGGACATTGGGGTGAGGGTGGCTCTGGGGACACTGAGTCAGTGGTGGCCTTGGGGACACCGGGTCAGTGGTGGCCTTGGGGACATCGGGGTGGGGGTGGCCCCAGGTCCCGGCCGTGTCCGGTCCCCGATGTCCCCGCGTCCCTCGGGTCACCGAGGAGCCGTGGGGACGTCCCCGGGTCCCGGCGGCCGCACGAGGCCGCGGTGGTGGCGCCGTCCCCACGGTGTCCCCAAAGTGTCCCCAGCTCCATGGGGATGTGGTGGCCACCATGCCCACGTCCCTCCAGATGTCCCCAGTTGTCTCTTGATGTCCCCATCTCCAGAACATCATGGTGGCCACCATCCCCGCGTCCCTCCAGATGCCACCATGTGTCTCCTGATGTCCCCATCTCCATGATGCTGTGGTGGCCACCATCCCCACGTCCTTCCAGATGTGTCCCCAGGGGTCCCCTGGTGTCCCCATCTCCACAACATCATGGTGGCCACCATCCCCACGTCCCACCAGCCACCACCACGTGACCCCTCATGTCCTCATCTCCATGATGCTGTGGTGGCCACCATCCCCACGTCCCTCCAGATGCCACCATCAAGTGTCCCCTAAATCCCCTGATGTCCCCATCTCCACGGTGTTGTGGTGGCCACCATCCCCGCATCCTTCCAGCCACCACCAGGTGTCCCCTGATGTCCCCATCTCCACAACATCGTGGTGGCCACCATCCCCACGTCCCTCCAGACGTCCCCACGATGTCCCCTAGGTGCCGACGTCCTCGGTGACGCGGCCGTCCCCACGATGTCCCCACGATGTCCCCAGATGTCCCCAGGTGTCCCTAGGTGCCGACGTCCTCGGTGACGTGCGCGTAGATCTGGCCGTCCCCACGATGTCCCCAGATGTCCCCGGGTGTCCCCGGGTGTCCCTAGGTGCCGACGTCTTTGGTGACACGGCTGTCCCCAGACGCGTTCCCAGGTGTCCCCAGCCGTCCCCATCTCCACAACGTCGTGGTGGCCACCGTCCCCGCGTCCCTCCAGACGTCCCCACGACGTCCCCTAGGTGCCGACGTCCTCGGTGACGTGGGCGTAGATCTGCGTGGCGCCCTTGAAGCTGGTGGCCAGCAGGAAGTGCCGGCGCGCGGCGGCGACGGGGACGAAGGCGCGGGGCGCGGGCGCGGGCAGCTCCTGCCGCGGCTCCAGGCGCCCGTCCCTGCCCGGGGCCAGCACCCGGCTCGGCGCGAAGTCGTTGCCCAGCAGGACCAGGCGGCGCCCGGCCAGGAGCAGCGGCTGGAACACCAGGGAGCCGCGCGCCGGCACCGCCTGCACCTCGCGGAACATCCAGCCCTCCCAGCGCATCACCTGCCGCGGCATGGGGGCGTCATGGGGTGGTGGTGGGACCGTGGGGTGGTGGTGGGACCAGGGGGTGGTGGTGGGACCATGGGGTGGGTGGTGGGACCAGGGGATGGTGGTGGGACCAGGGGATGGTGGTGGGACCATGGGATGGTGGTGGGACCGTGGGGTGGTGGTGGGACCATGGGGTGGTGGTGGGACCGTGGGGTGGTGGTGGGACCATGGGGTGGTTCAGTTGGGTTGGGTTGGGTTGGGTTGGGTTGGAGCCCTCCCAGCGCATCACCTGCCGCGGCATGGGGGCGTCATGGGGTGGTGGTGGGACCATGGGGTGGTGGTGGGACCGTGGGGTGGGTGGTGGGACCATGGGATGGTGGTGGGGTCAGGGGATGGATGGTGGGACCATGGGATGGTGGTGGGACCATGGGATGGTTCAGTTGGGTTGGGTTGGGTTGGGTTGGGTTGGGTTGGAGCCCTCCCAGCGCATCACCTGCCGCGGCATGGGGGCGTCATGGGGTGGTGGTGGGACCAGGGGATGGTGGTGGGACCATGGGATGGTGGTGGGACCAGGGGATGGTGGTGGGACCATGGGATGGGTGGTGGGACCATGGGGTGGTTCAGTTGGGTTGGGTTGGGTTGGGTTGGAGCCCTCCCAGCGCATCACCTGCCACGGCATGGGGGCGTCATGGGATCGGTGGTGGGACCATGGGGTGGTGGTGGGACCATGGGGTGGGTGGTGGGACCATGGGATGGTGGTGGGGTCATGGGATGGGTGGTGGGACCATGGGATGGTGGTGGGACCATGGGATGGTTCAGTTGGGTTGGGTTGGGTTGGGTTGGGTTGGGTTGGAGCCCTCCCAGCGCATCACCTGCCGCGGCATGGGGGCGTCATGGGGTGGTGGTGGGACCAGGGGATGGTGGTGGGACCATGGGATGGTGGTGGGACCAGGGGATGGTGGTGGGACCATGGGATGGGTGGTGGGACCATGGGATGGGTGGTGGGACCATGGGATGGGTGGTGGGACCATGGGGTGGTTCAGTTGGGTTGGGTTGGGTTGGGTTGGAGCCCTCCCAGCGCATCACCTGCCACGGCATGGGGGGGTCATGGGATCGGTGGTGGGACCATGGGGTGGTGGTGGGACCATGGGGTGGGTGGTGGGACCATGGGATGGTGGTGGGGTCATGGGATGGGTGGTGGGACCATGGGGTGGTGGTGGGACCATGGGATGGTGGTGGGACCATGGGATCGGTGGTGGGACCATGGGATGGTTGGGTTGGGTTGGGTTGCAGCCCTCCCAGCGCATCACTTGCCCACCAGGTGGATCATGAGATGGTGGTGGGACCATGGGATGGGTGGTGGGACCATGACATCAGTGGTGGGGTCATGGGATGGTGGTGGGACCATGGGGTGGTGGTGGGGTCATGGGTTGGGTTGGGTTGGGTTGGGTTGGGTTGGTTTGGTTGGGTTTGGTTGAGTTGGGTTGGTTTGGTTGAGTTGGGTTGGGTTGGGTTGGGTTGGGTTGGGTTGAGTTGGGTTGGGTTGAGTTGGGTTGGGTTGGGTTGGGTTGGGTTGGGTTGGGTTGGGTTGAGTTGGGTTGGGTTGGGTTGGGTTGGGTTGGGTTTGGTTGGGTTGGGTTGGGTTGGGTTTGGTTGGGTTGGGTTGGTTGGGTTGGTTTGGTTGGGTTGGGTTGGGTTGGGTTGGGTTGAGTTGGTTTGGTTGGTTTGGTTGGGTTGGTTTGGTTTGGTTGGGTTTGGTTGGGTTGGAGCCCTCCCAGTGCATCACCTGGACATGGCAGGTGGGGTTTGGGGTCATGGGGTCAGTGGTGGGACCATGAGATGGGTGATGGGGTCATGGGATGGTGGTGGCACCATGGCATGGTTGGGTCCATTGGGTTGGGTTGGGTTGGGTTGGTTGGGTTGGGTTATGTGGAGTTGGGTTGGGTGGGGTTGGAGCCCTCCCAGCACCACCACCCACCTGCACAGGGGTCAGGGGGTCACAGGTGGCTCACGTGACCCCAGGTGGCCCCCGTGGCCGTGTGGTGACCATCATGACCATGGTGGCCCCACATGACCCTGGTGACCCCCCTTGAGCACGTGATCTTAATGGAACCCCATGACCCCATGACCCTGATGGACCTCCACGACCATGATGGAATCCCAAAACCCCATGACCATGATGGACCCCCATAACCGCATGACCCTGCTGACCCTCCATGACCGCATGGCCTTGATGGAACCCCATGACCCCATGACCTTGATGGAACCCCAAAACCCCACAACCATGATGGAACCCCAAAACCCCATGACCCGGGTTACCTCCCATGACCACATGGCCTTGATGGACCCCCAAAACCCCATGACCCTGCTGATCCTCCATGACCACATGGCCTTGATGGACCCCCATAACCCCATAACCCTGATGGACCCCCACAGCTACATGATCCTGGTTACCTCCCATGATCTTGATGGACCCCCATAACCACATGACCTTGATGAACCCCATAACTCCATGACCCTGCTGACCCACCATGACCCTGATGGACCTCCATAACCCCATAACCCTGGTGGACCCCCATAACCACATGACCCTGATAGACCTTCATAACGACATGGCCTTGATGGAACTCCATAACCCCATGACCCTGATGGACCCCCATGACCCCATAACCATGATGGACCCCCATAACCGCATGGCTTTGATGGACCCCCATAACCTCATGACTCCATGACCTTGATGGACCCCCATAACCTCACGACCCTGATGGACCCCCATAACCCCATGACTCCATGACCTTGATCGGCCCCCATAACCACATAACCCCATGACCCTGATGGAACCCCATCACCACGTGACCGTGATGGAACTCCATAACCCCATGATCCTGCTGACCTACCATGACCTTGATGTACCCCCATAACCTCATGACCTTGATGGACCCTGAGGACCTTGATGGACCCCCATGACCCTGATGGAGCCCCACGACCTTGCTGACCCTCAATAACCACATGGCCTTGATGGAACCTCATAACCCCATGACCTCATGACCATAATGGACCCCCATAACCACATAAACCCATGACCTTGATGGACCCTCATAACCACCATAACCCCATAACTCTGATGGACCTCCATAACCCCATGATCCTGCTGACCCAATTTGACCTTGATGGACCCCCATAACCACATGACCATGATGGAACCCGTAACCACATGGCCTTGATGGAACCCCATGAACTTGATGGAACCCCATAACCTCATGACTCCATGACCTTGATGGAACTCCATCACCACATGATCCTGATGGACCCCCATAACCACATAACCTTGATGGACCCCCATAACCCCATGGCCTTGATGGAACCCCATTACCCCATGACTCCATGACCTTGATCGACCCCCATAACCACATCACCCCATAACCCTGATGGAACCCCATCACAACATGACCATGATGGAACCCCATAACCTCATGACCCTGATGGACCCCATGAGCCTGATGGATCCCCATAACCACATGACTATGATGGAACCCATAACCTCATGACCTTGATGGAACCCCATGACCCTGATGGAACCCCATAACCCCATAGCCTCCATGGAACCCCATAACCCTATGACCGTGGTTACCCCTCATGATCTTGATGGACCTCCATAACCCCATAACCACGATGGACCTCCATAACTCCATGATCTTGATGGAAACCCCACAACCCCATAACCATGATGGACCTCCATAACTCCATGATCCCATAACCATGATGGAACTCCATAACCCCATGATCCCATAAGCGTGATGGACCCCCATAACCCCATGACCCTGATGGACCCCAGAACCTCATAACCCCATGGCCTTCATGGAAACACCACACCCTCATGACTCCATGACCTTGATCGACCTCCATAACCACATCACCCCATAACCCTGATGGACCCCCATAACCACATGACCCTGATAGACCTCCATAACCCCATGACCCTGATGGAACCCCATAACTCCATGACCCTGATGGACCCCCATAACCCCATGACCCTGATGGAACCCCATAACTCCATGACCCTGCTGACCTAACATGACCCTGATGGACCTCTATAACCACATGACCTTGATGGACCCCGAGGACCTTGATGGACCCCCATGACCCTGATGGAGCCCCATAACCACATGACCATGATGGACCCCCATAACCCCATAACCATGATGGACCCCCATAACCCCATGACTTTGATGGAAACCCCATAACCACATGATCCTGATGGAGCCCCATAACCACATAACCTTGATGGAACCCCATGACCCCATAACCATGATGGACCTCCATAACCCCATGACCCTGATGGACCCCCATAACCCTGATGGAACTCCATGGCCCCATAACCTTGATGGACCTCCATGATCCCATGACCATGATGGACACCCGTAACTCCATAACCTTGATGGACTCCCATGACCTTGATGGACCCCCATAGCCCCATGGCCTTGATGGAACCCCATAACCTCATGACTCCATTACCTTGATCGACCCCCATAACCACATGACCCCATGACCCTGATGGAACCCCATGACCCTGACAGACCCCCATGACCCTGATGGAACTCCATGGCCCCATAACCTTGATGGACCTCCATGATCCTATGATCCTGATGGACCCCCAAAACCACAAGACCCTGATGGAACCCCATGACCCCAGTGAACCTCCATGACCTTCATGAACCCTGATAACCACATGACCCTGATGGAACCCCATAACCCCATAACCATGATGGACCTCCATAACTCCATGACCTTGATGGAACTCCATAACCCCATAACCCTGATGGACCCCTGTAACCCCATGACCTTGATGGAACCCCATAACCACATGACCATGGTTACCCCCCATGATCTTGATGGACCTCCATAACCACATCACCCATGACCTTGACAGAACTCCATGATCCCATGACCCTGATGGATCCCCATAACCCCATGACCATGATGGACCTCCATAACTCCATGATCCCATAACCATGATGGAACTCCATAACCTCATGACCTTGATGGAAACCCCATAACCCCATAACCATGATGGACCCCCATAACCCTGTGATCCCATAACCATGATGGAACCCCATAACCCCATGACCCTGACGGACCCCCATAACCCCATAACCATTATGGACCCCCATAACCCCATGACCCTGGTGGACCTTCATAACCCCATGATCCTGCTGACCTAACATGACCTTGATGGACCCCCATAACCACATGACCATGATGGAACCCGTAACCACATGACCTTGATGGAACCCCATGACCCTGATGGAGCCCCATCACCACATGATCCTGATGGACCCCCATAACCCCATAACCTTGATGGACCGCCATAACCACATGGCCTTGATGGAACCCCATAACCCCATGACTCCATGACCTTGATCGACACCCAGAACCACATGACCCTGATGGACCCCCATAACCCCATGATCCTGCCGACCCACCATGACCTTGATGGACCCCCATGACCCTGATGGACCCCCATAATCCCATGACCATGATGGAACCCATAACCTCATTATCTTGATGGAACTCCATAACCACATCACCATGATGGACCTCTGTAACCCCATAACCATGATGTACCCCCATGACCCTGATGGACCCCCACAACCCCATGACCTTGATGGACCCCCATAACCCCATGACCTTGATGGACCCCCATAACCCCATAACCATGATGGACCCCCATAACCCTGACGGAACTCCATAACCCCATAACCATGATGGACCCCCATAACCCCATAACCCCATAACCCTGATAGACCCCCATAACCCCATGACCCTGACGGACCCCCATAACCCCAAAACTCTGATGGACCCCCATAACCCCATAACCATGATGGACCCCCATAACCCTGACGGAACTCCATAACCCCATAACCATGATGGACCCCCCATGACCCCATAACCCCATAACCATGATGGAACCCCATAACCCTGATAGACCTCGATAACCCCATGACCCTGACGGACCCCCATAACCCCATAACCCTGATGGACCCCCATAACCCCATAACCCTGATGGACCCCCATAACCCCATAACCCTGATGGACCCCCATAACCCCATGACCCTGATGGAACCCCATAACCCCATAACCCTGATGGACCCCCATAACCCCATAACCCTGATGGACCCCCATAACCCCATAACTCTGATGGACCCCCATAACCCCATAACCCTGATGGACCCCCATAACCCCATGACCTTGATGGACCCCCATAACCCCATAACCATGATGGAATGATGGACCCCCATAACCCCATAACCCTGATGGACCCCCATAACCCCATAACCCTGATGGACCCCCGTAACCCCATGACCCTGACGGACCCCCGTAACCCCAAACCCTGATGGACCCCCGTAACCCCATAACCCTGACGGACCCCCGTAACCCCAAACCCTGATGGAACCCCATAACCCCATAACCCTGATGGACCCCCATAACCTCATAACCCTGATGGACCCCCACAACCCCATAACCCTGATGGACCCCCACAACCCCATAACCCTGATGGACCCCCATAACCCCATAAGCATGATGGACCCCCATAACCCCATAACCCTGATGGACCCCCACAACCTCAATGAACCCCCACCCCCACCCCCGCCGTTCCTCACCTTGGCGTCCCCGAGGAACCGGGTGAGGCACAGGAACACGTTCCCCTCCAGGCTGAAGTGCTTGGCGGCGTAGACGTCGGGCACGTGCGGGATGTCCGTGTGCGGCGCGAAGCCGCCGGCGCCCCACAGGAACACCTGGGGCCTCCTGGCGGCGCCGCAGGCCACCAGCGCCGCGCGGCCGCCCAGCTCCAGGAACTCCAGGTGCGTGTCGCGCCGCCACGGCCGCAGCGCCTGCGCCGGGTAGAAGGCTCCGGAGGCCCAGCGGAACACGGTGGAGGCGCCGCCCTTGGAGCTGTCGGCCACGCCCAGGTAGAGGCGGCCGCCCAGGCGCGCCGAGGTGACGGCGTGGGGACGGCGCAGGCGGCCCTGGCCCAGGGACTGGTGGCGCACGAAGGACGAGCCCGAGCGGCGCCACACCCAGGAGCCGCCGCGCAGCTGGGCCACCACCAGGAACAGCGTGTCGCCCACCACCACCGGGTGGCAGGACACCGGGGACGAGCCTGGAGGGGACAGTGGGGACGTTAGTGAGGACCTTTGAGACCCTGGGGACACTGGGTACATTGGAGATGTTGGGGGCACTGGGAACATTGGGGACATTGGAGATGTTGGGGTGATGGGACCTTGGGACACTGGAAGCCTTGAGGACATTGGAGATGTTGGGGTGATGGGGACATTGAGGAGCTTGGGGACATTGGAGATGTCGGGTTGATGGGACATTGGGGACATTGGAGATGTTGGTGTGATGGGACATTGGGGACCTTGGAGATGTTGGGGTGATGGGACCTTGGGGACATTGGAGATGTCGGGGTGATGGGACATTGGGGACATTGGAGATGTTGGGGACCTTGGGGACATTGGGGACATTGGAGATGTTGGGGTGATGGGGCCTTGGGGACATTGGAAATGTTGGGGACCTTGGGGACATTGGGGACATTGGAGATGTTGGGGTGATGGGACCACACCCAGGAGCCGCTGCGCAGCTGGGCCACCACCAGGAACAGCGTGTCGCCCACCACCACCGGGTGGCAGGACACCGGGGATGGGCCTGGGGGAGAGGGGACACGAGGGAGGACCTTTGAGACCTTGGGGACACCGGGGACATTGGAGATGCTGGTGTGATGGAGACCTTGGGGACCTTGGAGATGTTGGAGTGATGGCGACCTTTGGGACACTGGAAGCCTTGAGGACATTGGAGATGTTGGGGTGATGGGGACATTGGAGATGTTGGGGACACAGGAGATGTTGGGGACACTGGAGATGTTGGGGACACTGCAGATGTTGGGGACACTGCAGATGTTGGGGACATTGGAGATGTTGGGGACACTGCAGATGTTGGGGACACTGCAGATGTTGGGGACATTGCAGATGTTGGGGACACTGCAGATGTTGGGGACACTGCAGATGTTGGGGACACAGGAGATGTTGGGGACACTGCAGATGTTGGGGACACTGCAGATGTTGGGGACAGGAATTTTCCCCCCAATTTCTCTCACCATTGGCCACGCTCTGAGCCCGGAACCTCCCCCTCATTTTCCCTTTTGTTTTTCCCCATCATTTCCCCATTTTTTCCCATTTCCCCCCTGGTTTTCCCCATTTTTCCCCATTTTTTCCCCATTTTTTCCCAATTTTTGGCCGATTTGCCCCCAATGTTTAAATTTTTCCATTTTTCCCAATTTCCCCGATTTTCCCCCCATTTCTCTCACCATTGACCACACTCTGAGCCCAGAACCTCCCCCGAGCTGCTCCCACTCCCATTCCATTTTCGCCCATTTTTTCCCATTTTTTTGCGGTTTTTTTTCCCCGTTTTTTCCCCAAATTTTCCTGTTTTTTCCATTTTTTTCCTTTTTTCCCAATTTCCCCATTTTTCCCCAATTTCTCTCACCATTCACCACGCTCTGAGCCCGGAACCTCCCCCTCATTTTCCCTTTGTTCTCCCCATTATTTCCCCATTTTTTCCCATTTTTTTGCCGATTTTTTCCCCGTTTTTTCCCCAAATTTCCCTTTTTTTTTCATTTTTCCCAATTTCCCGGTTTTTCCCCCCAATTTCTCTCACCGTTCACCACGCTCTGAGCCCGGAACCTCCCCCCGAGCTGGTCCCACTCGAGCAGGGCGCAGGCGCCGAGCTCCGGCTGCGCCACGAACACCCAGGGGTGGCCCCCGAGGGACGCGGAGGCGGCGCCCAGGGACGAGAACGGCAGCGTCTGGAACGGCCGCAGCTCTGGGGGGAAAAACGGGGAATTTGGTAAAAACGGGGAAATTTGGGGAAAAATGGGGAAAAAATTGGTTTAAAGTGGGGGAAAATTGGTTAAAAATGGAAAATATTGGGATTCTGTAGAGGATGGAACGGGCGCGGCTCTGGGGACACAAAATGGGAACAAAAATCTGAAAATCTGGATAAAAATGGGAAAATTTGGAGTTTTTCACATCAAAATTTGGTTAAAAATGGGAAAAAATTGGTTAAAAATGGGAAAAATTGGGATTCCTGAGAGGCCGGAACGGCCGCAGCTCTGGGGACAGAAATTGGGGACACAAAATGGGGACATTGGGGACACGGGCGAAAATGGCAAAGTCTGAAATGGACGCAGTTCTGGGGAGAAAAACGGGAAATTTGGGTAAAAATGGGAAAATCTGGAGTTTTTCACACGAAAATCCGGTTAAAAATGGAAAAATTTGGTTAAAAATGGGAAAATTTGGGGAAATTGGGGATTCTTCAGAGGCTGGAATGGCCGCAGCTCTGGGGACACAAAAATGGGGATAAAAATGGGAAAATTTGGTAAAAAATGGGGAAATTTGGGGAAATTTGGGATTTTTTAGAGGCTGGAACGGCCGCGGCTCTGGGGACACAAAACGGGGACAGAAAGTGGAAACAAAAATTGGAAAATTTGGAGTTTTTTCACATCAAAATTGGTTTAAAAATTGGGAAATTTGGGGAAATTTGGGATTCCAGAGAGGATGGAACGGCCGCCGCTCTGGGGACACAAAATGGGGACAGAAAGTGGGAAACAAAAATTGGAATATTTGGAGTTTTTTCACATCGAAATTTGGTTTAAAGTGGGGGAAAATTGGTTAAAAATGGGAAAAATTGGGATTCTGTAGAGGCTGGAATGGCCACAGCTCTGGGGACACAAAATGGGAACAAAAATCTGAAAATTTGGATAAAAATGGGAAAATTTGGTTAAAAATGGGGGAAAAAATGGGAAATTTTGTAAAAAATGGGGAAATTTGGTTAAAAATGGGGAAAAATTTGGGGAAATTGGGGATTCTTGGGAGGCTGGAACGGCCGCAGCTCTGGGGACACAAAATGGGGACAGAAATTGGGGACATTGGGGACATTGGGGACATTGGGGACATTGGGGACACGGAGGCTGCGCCCAGGGACGAGAACAGGAGCGTCTGGAACGGACGCAGCTCTGGGGGAAAAACGGGGAATTTGGTAAAAACGGGGAAATTTGGGGAAAAATGGGGAAAAAATTGGTTTAAAGTGGGGGAAAATTGGTTAAAAATGGGAAAAATTGGGATTCTGTAGAGGATGGAACGGCCGCGGCTCTGGGGACACAAAATGGGAACAAAAATCTGAAAATCTGGATAAAAATGGGAAAATTTGGAGTTTTTCACATCAAAATTTGGTTAAAAATGGGAAAATTTGGGGTTCTTGATAGACTGGAATGGCCGCAGCTCTGGGGACACAAACTGGGGACAAAAATGGGAAAATTTGGTTAAAAATGGGGAAATTTGTTTAAAATGGGAAAATTTGGAGTTTTTCACACCAAAATCTGGTTAAAAATGGGGAAATTTGGGGAAATTTGGGGAAATTTGGGATTCTTGGGAGGCTGGAACGGACGCAGCTCTGGGGGAAAAACGGGGAATTTGGTAAAAATGGGGAAATTTGGGTAAAAATGGGGAAATTTGGTTTAAAATGGGGAAAAAATTGGTTTAAAGTGGGGGAAAATTGGTTAAAAATGGGAAAATTTGGGATTCCTGAGAGGCTGGAACGGGCGCAGCTCCGGGGACACAAAATGGGGACAGAAAGTGGGAACAAAAATTGGAAAATTTGGAGTTTTTTCACATCAAAATTGGTTTAAAAATTGGGAAATTTGGGGAAATTTGGGATTCCGGAGAGGCTGGAACGGCCGCAGCTCTGGGGACAGAAATTGGGGACACAAAATGGGGACATTGGGGACACGGACGAAAATGGCAAAGTCTGAAATGGACGCAGTTCTGGGGAGAAAAACGGGAAATTTGGGTAAAAATGGGAAAATCTGGAGTTTTTCACACGAAAATCCGGTTAAAAATGGAAAAATTTGGTTAAAAATGGGAAAATTTGGGGAAATTGGGGATTCTTCAGAGGCTGGAATGGCCGCAGCTCTGGGAACACAAAAATGGGGATAAAAATGGGAAAATTTGGTAAAAAATGGGGAAATTTGGGGAAATTTGGGATTTTTTAGAGGCTGGAATGGCCGCAGCTCTGGGGACACAAAATGGGGACAAAAATGGGAAAATTTGGGGAAATTTGAGAAAATTTGGGATTCCTGAGAGGCTGGAACGGACGCAGCTCTGGGGACACTGAGGACACAAAATGGGGACAAAAATGGGAAAATTTGGAGTTTTTCACATCAAAATTTGGTTAAAAATGGGAAAATTTGGGGAAATTTAAGAGAATTTGGGGTTCTTGGGAGGCTGGAACGGCCGCAGCTCTGGGGACACAAAATGGGGACAGAACGTGGGAAACAAAAATTGGAATATTTGGAGTTTTTCACATCGAAATTTGGTTTAAAGTGGGGGGAAATTGGTTTAAAATGGGGGAAAATTGGTTAAAAATGGGAAAAATTGGGATTCCTGAGAGGCTGGAACGGGCGCAGCTCTGGGGACACAAAATGGGGACAAAAATGGGAAAATTTGGAGTTTTTCACACCAAAATTTGGTTAAAAATGGGAAAATTTGGGAAAATTTTGGATTCTTTAGAGACTGGAACGGCCACAGCTTTGGGGACACAAAAATGGGGAAAAAATGGGAAAATTTGGGTTAAAAATGAAAAAATTTGGGGAAATTTGGGGAAATTGGGGATTCCTGAGAGGCTGGAACGGCCGCAGCTCTGGGGACACAAAATGAGGGGAAAAATGGGAAAATTTCATTAAAAATGGGAAAATTTGGAGTTTTTCACATCAAAATTTGGTTTAAAATGGGGGGCAAAAAATGGGAAATTTGGGTAAAAATGGGAAAATCTGGAGTTTTTCACACGAAAATCCGGTTAAAAATTTTTTACCCTCAAATCCCCATTCCCACCCCTAAATTCCCCATTTTTTGACCTTAAACCACCAAATTTTCACCTCCCAGTGCCCCCCCAGGCCCTCCCAGTCCAAACCAGTACAACCCAGTATATCCCAGTATAACCCAGTCCCATTTCCAGCCCTAAAATTCCCATTTTTAACCCCTAAAATCCCCATTTTCCCCCCTAAAATTTCCATTTTTAACCCTTAAATCCCCGGATTTTCCCCCCCAGTCCCTCCCAGTATAACCCAGTCCCAATTTCCCCTCTAAAACTCCAATTTTTAACCCTAAAATCCCCAACTTTTTGACCTAAAACCACCGAATTTTCACCTCCCAGTATATCCCAGTCCCTCCCAGTCCGTCCCAGTCCCTCCCAGTGTAACCCAGTCCCATTTTTAACCCCTAAACCCCCATTTTTAACCTTTAAATCCCCATTTTTCCTCCTGAATTCCCCAATTTTAACCCTAAAACCCCCGGATTTTCTACCCCAGTCCCTCCCAGTTTGTCCCAGTACAAACCAGTCCCTTCCAGTCCCGTTTTCCCCTCTAAACCCCTCAATTTTAACCCTTAAATCCCCTTCTTTTGACCCAAAACCACCAAATTTTCACCTCCCAGTCCCTCCCAGTATGTCCCAGTCCCATTTTTAACCCCTAAATCCCCAATTTAACCCTTCAATCCCCATTTCCCCCCTAAAATCCCCATTTTTAACCCTCAAACCCCCGGATTTTTCCCTCCCAGTTCCCTCCCAGTATAACCCAGTACAAACCAGTGTAACCCAGTCCCATTTCCACCCCTCATATCCCCATTTTAACCCTAAAATCCCCATTTTTTAACCCTAAACCCACCAAATTTTCACCTCCCAGTCCCTCCCAGTACAAACCAGTTTGTCCCAGTCCCTCCCAGTCCCATTTTCCCCTCTGAAACCTCAATTTTTAACCCTTAAATCCCCATTTTTAACCCTAAAAATCCCCATTTTTAACCCTAAAATCCCCATTTTTAACCCTAAAATCCCCATTTTTTGACCTAAAACCACCAGATTTTCACCTCCCAGTCCCTCCCAGTCCAAACCAGTACAACCCAGTATATCCCAGTAAAACCCAGTGCCATTTTTAACCCTTCACTCCCCATTTCCACCCCTCAAATCCCCTTTGTTTGACCTAAAACCGCCAAATTTTCTCCCCCCAGTACAAACCAGTGCATCCCAGTTCCCTCCCAGTTTGTCCCAGTTCCCTCCCAGTACAACCCAGTCCCATTTCCACCCCTAAATCCCCATTTTTAACCCTAAAATCCCCATTTTTAACCCTAAAATCCCCATTTTTTAACCCTAAAACCACCAAATTTCCACCTCCCAGTCCCTCCCAGTCCATCCCAGTATAACCCAGTCCCTGCCAGTCTCATTTTCCCCTCTAACCCCCCAAATTTTAACCCTTAAATCTCCATCTTTAACCCTAAACCCCCCCGGATTTTCTCCCCCCAGTATAAACCAGTCCCTCCAGTCCATCCCAGTGTAACCCAGTCCCATTTTCCCCTCTAAAAATCCCAGGTTTTAACCCTAAAATCCCCAGATTTTTTCCCTTTAGTCCCTCCCAGTCCATCCCAGTCAAAACCAGTTTGTCCCAGTATAACCCAGTTCCCTCCCAGTCCCATTTTCCCCTGTAAAATCCCCATTTTTAACCCTTCAATCCCCAATTTTTAACCCTAAAATCCCAGGATTTTCTCCCCCCAGTCCCTCCCAGTTCCCTCCCAGTTTGTCCCAGTTCCCTCCCAGTATAACCCAGTCCCATTTTTAACCCCTAAATCCCCATTTTTAACCCTTAAATCCCCATTTCCCCCCTAAAACCCCCGGATTTTTCCCTCCCAGTCCCTCCCAGTGTAACCCAGTCCCATTTTAACCCCTAAAATCCCCATTTTTAACCCTTCAATCCCCATTTTTAACCCTAAAATCTCCCTTTTTGGACCTCAAACCACCAGATTTTCACCTCCCACCCCATCCCAGTCCAAACCAGTCCCTCCCAGTACATCCCAGTCCCATTTTAACCCCTAAATCCCCATTTTTCCCCCTAAAATTGCCATTTTTAACCCTTCAATCCCCATTTTCCCCCCTAAAATCCCCGATTTTAACCCTCGAACCCCCGGATTTTTCCCCGCAGTCCCTCCCAGTCCCTCCCAGTCCCTCCCAGTATATCCCAGTGCCATTTTTAACCCTTAAATCCCCTTTTTTCCCCCCCTAAAAGCCCCATTTTTAACCCCAAAATCCCCGGATTTCCCCCCCCCCCAGTCCCTCCCAGTCTGTCCCAGTCCATCCCAGTACAAACCAGTCCCATTTTCCCCATAAAAACTCCAATTTTTAACCCTTCAATCCCCATTTTCCCCCTAAAATCCCCATTTTTAACCATTAAACCCTCCCAGTCCCTCCCAGTATAACCCAGTTTCATTTTAACCCTTCAATCCCCATTTTCAACCCCCAAACCCCCGGATTTTCCCTCCCAGTCCCCCCCAGTCCCTACCAGTCCCTCCCAGTATATCCCAGTCCCTCCCAGTCCCCCCCAGTCCCTCCCAGTCCCATTTTTAACCCTTCAATCCCCGATTTTAACCCCCGAACCCCCGGATTTTCCCTCCCAGTCCCTCCCAGTATAGCCCAGTATAACCCAGTCCCATTTTTAACCCTTCAATCCCCGATTTTAACCCTTCAATCCCCATTTTTAACCCTTCAATCCCCATTTTTAACCCTTCAATCCCCGATTTTAACCCCCAAACCCCCGGATTTTCCCTCCCAGTCCCCCCCAGTCCCTCCCAGTCCCTCCCAGTCTCTCCCAGTATAACCCAGTCCCCCCCAGTCCCTCCCAGTCCCATTTTTAACCCTTCAATCCCCGATTTTAACCCTTCAATCCCCATTTTTAACCCTTCAATCCCCATTTTTAACCCTTCAATCCCCGATTTTAACCCCCGACCCCCCGGGTTTTCCCCCCCAGTCCGTCCCAGTCCCTCCAGTTACCGTGCCGCAGGCACTGGAGCTGCTGGGGGCGGAGCTGCGCCAGGGCCACGCCCGTGTGGGGGAGGGGCTCCCGGCAGCGGCCCTCGGGGGGGGAGGGGCGGGCGCGGCCCCAGGCCAGGAGCCAGCGCAGGGCGCAGTCGCAGCGCAGGGGGTTCCCCCGCAGGTCCCTGCACAAAAATGGCACAAAGGTGGCACCGAGTGGCACCGAATGGCACCGAAGTGACAAAAAGTGGCATTAAAGTGGCAAAAAGCGCCACCAAATGGCACCAAAGTGGCATCAAAGTGACAAAAATGGCCCCAAAGTGGCACTAAGTGGCACCAAATGGCACCGAAGTGGCATCAAAGTGACAAAAATGGCCCCAAAGTGGCACTAAGTGGCACCAAATGGCACCGAAGTGGCATCAAAGTGACAAAAATGGCCCCAAAGTGGCAAAAAGCGCCACCAAATGGCACCGAAGTGGCATCAAAGTGACAAAAATGGCCCCAAAGTGGCAAAAAGCGCCACCAAATGGCACCGAAGTGGCATCAAAGTGACAAAAATGGCCCCAAAGTGGCACTAAGTGGCACCAAATGGCACCCAAGTGGCACCGAAGTGTCATTAGATGTCACCAGGGGGTGCCAGGTGGCGCTAAGTGGCATTAGAGTGGCACTAAATGGCATTGAAGTGGCAAAAAGTGGCGCCAAGTGGCACCAAATGGCACCAGAGTGGCACCAAATGGCACCAGAGTGGCACCAAGTGGCACCAAATGGCACCAAATGGCATTAAAGTGGGGTACCAAATGGAACCAAATGGCACCAGAGTGGCACCAAATTGCACCAAATGGCACCAAGTGGCACCAAATGGCACCAGAGTGGCACCAAGTGGCACCAAATGGCACCAAATGGCATTAAAGTGGTACCAAATGGAACCAAGTGGCACCAAATGGCACCAGAGTGGCACCAAGTGGCACCAAATGGCATTAAAGTGCCAAAAAGCGGCACCAAAGTGGCATCAAAGGGGTGCCAAGGCGTGCCAAGGGGTGCCAGGTGGCACCAAAGTGGCATTAAAGTGGCGCCAAGAGGCACTAAATGACATTAGAGTGGCACCAGGTGGCACCAAAGTGACAAAAACGGCACCAAACGGTGACGGGTGGCCCCAAATGGCACCAAAGCGGCACCGAAGGGACAAAAAGTGGCACCAAGTGGCGCCAAAGTGGCACCAAGTGTCACCCAGGTGGCACCAAAGTGGCACTAAAGGGCAAAAGGTGGCACTAAGTGGCATTAAAGTGGCACCAGGTGGCACCAGAGTGGCACCAAATGGCACCAAAGCGTCACCAGGGGGTGCCAGGTGGCATCAAAGGGGCACTAAATGGCACCCAGGTGGCACCACATGGCACCAGAGTGGCACTGAGTGGCACCAAAGTGG